AGCAGTTCCTTTTTTGGTCAGCTCAACTACAAATAGTAAAAGATAGGGCTAGTCTAGACTGGTGTTTTGTAGAGGCAAAAGCACAAGCTAAAACCAGAACCTTGGTGAAGACCAGATTTTCTCTGCTGCAACAGCTTTTTGGAGTTAATGGATGACTAGAAGTTTTCCTGTTGATGAGGCTTTTCAGGACAAAACCATCTACGACAAATCTCTGGGCGTTGCAGCTAGATGAGGTTTTTTGATTAAAAAAAAAAAAAAAAAAAGGTTGATTACAGAAGAGATTATTTGAAACAGTTCTGGTGTTACTGAAGGGTTACCAGCAGGCTGCACAACCTGGAAAGCAATAGCTGCTGCTGCAGCTAATCAGGCTGTTTGAGGGCCAGGACAGAGGGCAGGCTGTGAGCAGTGGGACAGCAGTAATGAGATGGTTGGCTCTGCCAGCCAAGGTCAGCTTACTGGAGGCATCAGAGACCAGAGAGCTTCTGATGCTCTAAAAAGGCTGGAAGATAAAATGTATTATTGTGACTACTTCATGTGTTGCACTGGTTCCAGGGAACTGTCAGCTTCAATTTGTTCCTCCCATTGAAAAGAAGAAAGATGCTCGCATACTTCTGTGCTAATCTGTCATTTCTTTTGTGCTGGTCGGGAAGTAAAAATTACAGGATACCCTTGCAACATAAAAAGACAAAGAAAAAGATAACTTTAGGAAAAAAGGCCAGTTACATCTTGTGTCATGCTTAGAGGACTCACTTCTTGAGTCCACTGGGTGCAAAGGCTGTATGCAAAGAATAAGGCAAGGTCTGTACTTGTGGCTACCAAAAAGCAATTCAAGAATACCACAAACCTGCCCTTCTCCATACCTCCCAAATCCCACAGGGCAGCATGTACTGGGATTGTTGTTTGTGATCATGGCTTGGCTCCTGGAGCCTTGCTGCAGCTCCCTAATTAACCTGGATGGAACTGGGGAGGTGGAATCTTCTTTATTCCAAACAGCACCAGACCCAGCAGCAAAAATACTTCAAAGCTAGAGCTGAAGAGCAAAAATTCAAGGGATTTAACCCAAATCCCCTGGATGCAGACTTGTAGTGATAGGAGAAGGAGTAATGGTTTTAAACTATAAGAGGACAGATTTAAGCTGGACATCAGAAATTTTTTTTACAATTAAGGTGGCAAAACACTGGCACAGATTGCCCACAGGGGTGGTAGATGTGCCATTTCTGGAAACATTTAAGGTCAGGTTGGACAGGTCTCTGAGGAACCTGATCTAGTTGAAGATGTCCCTGCTCAGTGCAGGGGGCTGGGACTAGATGGCCTTTAAAGGTCCCTTCCAACCTAAGCCATTCTACAATTCTGTGAAGGTTGAGATAAAACTGGTGCCCAATTGCCATAAAACAAGAGCTGAAGGTTGTCTGTCCCTAGGCTGCCAAATGGGGATAATGACAATTCCCAGAGAAGATTACCTGGTACCCACTGCTTCCTTTCTCCTTGAAATACTCACCTGGAGGTTTTTCAGGTGCCAGAGCACCAGCTTTATGGGAAGGGACAGGACAGGATTAAACCAGCCCCAGGCCAGCCACACAGCCTATGTGGGTGTAGATAAGTAAGGGCATGAGCAGTGTTTGCACTGAGGAGCAGAAATAAAGCTGCAGAAGAGCTGTGGACAAGAAAATGCAGTTTCTGCTTTGATTTGGGGCATGTAGAGAAGCACAGTCAAGGAGCTCAAACTGAGCTGACTGCCCAGCCTTAGCTAAGCTACTCCTGACATTAGGCAGAGAGATATAATATGATCCAGTTTATTACATCCAGGGTTGGCTTCCACTGCTGATCTCCCTTCAGCTCTCTCATGGGGAGCTGGCAAAGCCCATCCTGCCATTCCTCCTCCAGCTGCCTGGCACCTCTGCCCACAGACTGCCCTTCTGCCTTTGCCCTGGTGTAACTGAAGAAGAGCATGGGAAACAGAGATGTTGGCAGCTTAAATTCTCATTGACTCTGTGATATGTTTAACGTGCAGCCACCATGGTTTGTAAAGTCTCCCAGGGCAAAAATTGCTTCTGCTCTCAAAAGACTTCACATTTGACTTTAAATTCCAAGTGGGCCCAGCTCTTTCTCTCTGCCTCCTGAAAGGGCAAGCACATATCGGAGTCAATGCAACAATCAGTGCAAAACTAGCGGAGGGAAAAAACATTCAGTGTGTGTTCTTCCTGATTAATTTTGAAAAAATCTCTTACTAAGAAACTTCTTTAGCAACCTCCCTTTCAGAAAATCAGCAGGCACTGTAAGCTGAGTGAACAAAACAATGACCTCCAAGCTCCTGCTAAGTGAGAAAATAACCATTTTTTCCCCCCTCCCATTTTGTTAATGGAGTCATCCAGGAACCACACAGCTTCAAAGTGATGTGACAGGCTTCTATCCGATACGAATACACATCCCAGCCCTCTCTAACAAGCCCGTGCCAGGAGCGTGTGTTCAGGCATTGCTGTCCTCACTTCCTTCCCAGTCTGCTTTCAGCTGGTGCTCTGTGCAGGCTGAATGGCCACAGACACAAGCTGTCTATCTCCCAGCTGCTTGCAGCCTACTTTGCCTGATGAAAACTACCTCAGTTAAGTGGGTTGCCTGGGAGCAGCTTGTCACTGCCACATGTATAGCATCAGGGAAAAAAAGTGTCAAACCAGCCATCCCTTTTTTGGAAAAAGCCAATGCTGCTTATAGCTCTCACTCCCACTTCTCCCAGCAGGAAAGCAAGGCGGCTTCCCCAGACCTTTCCAGCAGTGCAGTTTGTGTGGAAGTTACCTTTTTACCTGCTGAGGTTTAAAAATATCAAAGAGCAAAAGGTAACCCTGCATGGCACGTAAGCATGCCACTGTGAGCTTTGAGGCCATGCTTGGTACCACTCTTAGCCCAAGTGTTTGTTCTGTGATACAGGTGAATAAAATGGTCATGTGCCTTGAGAGCACAAGGGAAGAAAAGCACCTTTTTCACTTACAGATGCTCCTTCAAAAACCACACACTTTTCCACTTACACGTTCCCAAGCATTTAAGAAATATTAATTCGGCAGCAGAAAAACCTCTAAGGTATAACTGTACTGTCATTCTAGAGAGGAGTAGCAACATGCCAACGCTAAATGCTCTGTTTCTTATGCAGGATCCTGGAAAGAAATTCAACATGTTGCTTTTTAAAAACAAAACAAAACAAAACCAAGAAAAACCCCAAAGCCCACGCTTTGTCAAGGAAATGCAGCTTGGATGCCAAAAGTCAAACCAGCATCAGGTTATGGATGCTGGGATTGTCAAAGTTCACTTTGCACAAGTGCTTATCTGCACTTGCAAGCAGCACAGACACCATCTTAAGTGACTGTCCTAATCTTCAGTTACTAGCTTAGAAAACGCTGGATTTATGGGAAAAAAAAAGATAAACTTCGCTTCCTTTAGACTCCCACTGTGCAACATATATACCCACCCACACTCATTTAAACGTGGAACAATCTGCCACATTTGCCCATTATGGCTACAAAGCAGGACTCTGAACCCATCCCAGTGGATACCTTTCTGAGTCTGGCCACACAAACCACATCACGTTGTGTCTCTTCCCACTGTGTGGAGATCTCCAAGACAGCTGGGCAACCAGCACAGGAATTTTTCAGGAAATACACCTTCCTCCTGTCTCCTTCCTTAAGCTCTCTGTTTGGGTATGCTCCTGCTTTTGTTTATGCAGGAGGGGGATACTTGTGAAACCTAATTAACCACCGGAGAAGACGATGTTTCTGTTTAGGAGCATGTTCTCTGCCCCGGGCTCCAGCTGCGTGACAGCAGCTCAAACACGGTAATTAAAATGAGCGTGGCTGAATGCATGGCCAGATTAATGAATGCTGAAATTACACTGGGAATACACTCAGCTCTTCCCAGAGAGACGGATGAAAGGGTGCAAAAGCAGCATTGCCACAAGCACACAGTTTCCAGAAAGCGTTTTGAAACTTTAAATGAGAGACAGCAAAATGCTCGGCTAACACAGCAATAGAAAGACCAGTCACAGGATTAGGGTGACCTTTTGTAACCAAGGCATTCAAAGGTAAACTGAAGAGCAATGCCAGTATGTAATGGGTTTGCATCAGTCCTTGGGAACGAGCCAGAGGACTGTAAAGGGAACTTAAGAGGGTCTAAGCTCTCCTCTAACCACTAATAGCATAAAAGCCCACTGGAAATAGAAAGACAAGACCTAAGGAAACGCCGAGACTTTTTTATGGAAACAGGGCTAAGCACTTCCACGCTCCGTGAAAAATATTAAGCCAGTTTCGTGGGTGTTTCACGAACACCCACGTTCAAGATTTTCTTCACAATCACAGCCTAAAACCATGCCCGGGACGCCACAAAAGAGCACCTCTGCCCTTCTCAAAACCTTGCTGCCGCCGGCAGATGAGCGGGGTCAGGACCCGCTCCTGTGAGCGCGGCTCTCCAGCCCCGCAGCCCTGGAGCTGCGCTCGGCCACGTCCCCGCTCGGCAGCGCCCCTTTCCTTCCTTCCTTCCCCCGCGGGCTCGGGCCCCGCACCCCTCCGGGAGCCCGGCCGGGTACCTGTTGCTGCCGGCGGTGCTGCCGCGGCTCACAGCCCGCTCCGGGACGCCGCTCGCCCGCCGCCACCCAGCGCTGCTCGGGCACCGCGGTGCCCCATGCCGGGCGGCAGCGCCCGCAGCTGGAAAACTAATAAACAGCGAGTAATAATAATAATGTAAGAAAAAAAAAAGGATAAAATTAAAGTTCTAAAATTAAATTTAAAAATTAAAAATGAAGAGAAGCGAGGACAGCTCTCCTCCCGTCGCCGCGCACCTCCGCTCTGGCAGCGAGCGAAGCCGCTGCCGGCTTTTCCTTGCGGAGCTGCGGGAGGGAGGCGGGGGCGGAGGCGGTGCTGCTGCGGCCCCCGCCCGCCCCCGCCCCGCGGGCAGTGCGGAGCCCCCCGGGCTCGGCCCCGCGGGACGCGGCGGAGCCGGCGCTGCCGGTACCCCCGTACCTTTTTGGGAGAGGTGGCGGTGCGGCTCTTCCGTTTTTTCATTCGATGCGTCTGCCCCCCCAGGCCGTCTGTCCCAAAGGCGGAACATCTGCAAAACCCCTCTGACCCTTCCCGCCTGGAATGGGGCAGGGAACGGGCTGCCGCCGCCTGCCTTCCCCGCGGCCGGCGGACCACTCGCTGCAGCCTCCGTTGCCTTCGGGAGTGTGTATGAAAGCTCTAAATTTGGATATTGGGCGGGCTGAAGACAGCAGTTAAAGGCGAATATAAATGAAAGAACATTGCAATGAATGGACCTTGAGTTTCTTCCTTTAAGCATCTTTTCTGTTACCCCAAGAAAAAAAGGCTGTATTTTCCCAGAGATTGTCAGGTATTTTCTTCAAATTTAGTGTTCCTCCCAAAACCTATTTACTATCAATATATCTGTTTAGAGAGATATGGATTTTGCATATATTTGTTGCTACCCTTAGGACTGCGTCATTTCTCTTTTGTGACTTTTTTAAATACTGGACTTTACATCAGCCAACAGAAGTACCAAACACACGTTGTATTTTCTATATGATTTGCTGTTCCTCTGCCAGCATTTAAAGCTGTTGTAGGGTCCTTCAAACAAGCTCTCCCTTGTGCCTCTTAAACAGCTGCAAGTGGTTCTTTTTTGGGGGAGGGGGGAGAGGGAGTGAGGGGCAGAAGGAATCCCTGGCAAATCTTTGGGGTTGGTAAAACAGACACAATTTGGAAGGATGCCTGAGAGGTCAATGCTGATACCCTCCCCATATCCCTCTATCTTTCCCTGTTTGGGTCAGGATAGGTAGACTCACTACTTTGAATGCAAATGTTTTCATTGAGTACACTGACCTGTCACACAGAGGGTGATATTGTATGAAGAAGTTAAGCAAATGACAAAGAAGACAGAGCTAGGTTTTGCGGAGCATTGTGCACGTAAAACAATCCCCAAAACTGTCCCTGAATAAAAAATCCAAGCTGCCAATTCCAGATGACCTATCATCCTAAGTAATTTTCAGCAGGAATAATGAATATGAGTTATTTCTATTGTATGCTGAAAATAAACCCTGTAGCCTTAGAAAGTAGAAATGAGACAAAATTACTCCAGATTCAGTAAAAGCAAAGAAGCATGCTCTTCACACTGGTGTGTGGACCTCTGGGGCCTAGAGGCTGTTTCCAAGGTTTCTGCGTTCAGATGGGCTCTACAGCAATCACGGCTGTGGTATTTCCAGAGGCACCCATTTCTCCACTAGAAAAAGTGTAGGGGCTGTTGCCAACACAGTGTCACTGCCGTAGCTCCAAGGCAAAATTTTAAGGGTGACCTTTCTACATCTCTGACTGAATCAACTATTCCCCTATTTCATGTGTGTCACACAGGATGTGAACTCTGAGGCAAAGGCAGAGGAATCGCTTTCTGGAAAAAGCAGCTGTGCACTTTGGGCTATGGAATGCCAGGGAAAGAGGAGAGGAAATATTTGTGGCAATGCTGGAAGCTATAAATGTCTCATCATGCACACTTAATATGTGTTTGAGTCCATTTCAGCCTTTTAGAGGGTGGCAGCTTTCACTGTGGAAGCCTGGTTATCTGTTAAAGGTTTTTCAGTGCCCTAGACTAATTGCAACATCTTACTTCAACCTGGAGCCTCCTACAGTTCTGGTCAATTGTTACCAATTCCCTCTGGCCTTTGTGATCTTATCTTGCAGAAGATTTTTTGAACTTAAGGTTGCAGATGCAAATTACCTCATTCATATTGCAGCCTCCTCTTTCAAGGAAATATCCTCTATCCTATGCAAATATATGTGATAGGGATGTACGAGCTGTTTCTCTTGGTTTCTCAATATAGTTTAGCATAGCAAATGCAGAAGGCTACTCTCCTCCTCCCCATCACACCAAGCCCTACACACACTCCCACTTCTCTGCCCCCAGTGCTCGTTGAAACAGCTGGCAGACTGAGTAGGTTTATGGATGCTCTAGATAAAATCTTTGCCCCACTTAGTCCTTCTGGACATGTATTCATCCTGACACACATGCTTTTGAAAGGCTGGGACAGTCATTCCACGTGTGTCTTGTTTTGCTAATTCAGTGGAAATTGCCAGAGAGCTCTGTCTCCCTCCATCATCAGGCAGGAATTGAAGCTGCCATTGTATTGTGGCTGTGATCATGCTACTATGCCTATAAATTATTCACGGTATTGCAGCGTAATCTTCTGTTATGTTAAAAATAGGTCATCATGAGTGTCCCCAGTGAAATTCTAAGTGACAACAACTGATTTTACTTTGTCTTCAGAAAACAGTGACCTTTTCAAAGCAGTAATTGACAATTATGGTCTACTTCTGTCTCTAAGACAGCTCCAGTGCACCTTCACAAACATTAATTCTCAACACTGGTAACCCCACATTATACTTGAGACAACTAAACCAGAGCTACTGAATTACCTGCTGAGCTTTGCTGAAGCACTTTGCGTTCTATTAGCCTTTGCTTCCAGGCCAAAGAGTAAATCAGGATTATCAAAGGAGATTATAGTCTGAGAATACCTAAATGCTCTGCTCCTCCCAAGCACTTGGAAAGCTTCTTGAAAGGGCTGAGCAGGATTTTCTGGCTGATATGCATCACTTACACATCCCTCTGGGGGGTATATATATTGAGAGGTACTTCACTTTTCCTGTTGCCACACAGACTCCAGCCCACTGAATCCCCTGAACCAAAAGAGCAGGAGGCTTTCAGGTCCATTGCAGACTAGACAAACCTGGAAAGGGGGAGCACGACCCAGTAGTCTGGACAGAGGTCCAGGGGAAATTCTTTTTTCTGCATAAGATACTGTGCGGGAGGGCTCTGTGTGGACCCCCCCAAAAAAGTGGGATATTGTTGAAATTTCCCTGCTTGTTGTGGGGATGTATGTCTGTTATGCAGATACAAAGACTTAGGCCTGGGTGACTTCATTCACCTGAAAGCAAGGACTGGTGGTGGGTGGCAATGCTCAGCAGGCCATGCAGACAGCAATTTGCATGGAAGTCTCTTGTTAGCATGTTCAGAGCAGCAAGAGGTCAAAGGATGTGGGGGGATGGATGGGCAGACCACAGCTTTGAGCTCTGGAAGTCTGAGGTAGATCGGGCCTGCCCTAGCCTTTAAGGAAGACAATTTACACCTGTTTATCCTGATGTAACTTGTCTTTGCTGTTTTTCTGTGTAACTCCCATGCTCAGAAGGGATTCACAAGGCATCTTCATATTGCTGATGGACATCCCACAGGACATCTCCAGCAGGTATGACACCCAGGAAAATCTTCTGTGGGAGAACAAGGTGCAAACCTGACTGCTCTTACCCGAGGATCTTGGTCCAAAAATATAGGTAAATGACCATATTTGAGAGTAGGGAAGATGGCAGGTGCTGGAACCATCACTTGGGAAAGCTTTTAGCGGGGAGATAAAAGACAAGACCCTGACCCCTGCTGTGGCAATCTGGGCAAGATGTGAGCTTTAACATTGTAACTGTATGCAAGTTTGCCATTACTCTTTCCAACTATACATATTAAAGTGTAGCCACAATTCTCCTACTGCACCCTGCCCATGCTGCTCTTTGGATTGACTCCATTCCTGTACTTATAGCTTTTCTGTCCAGTTTGTTGCACATTCATTGTCATCCTGCAGCACTTGCTCTCTTTCCAGAAGAGTTTGATACCCACTTGTTTTTCTCTCCTCTAACCACTGTGCAATCATTTCCCCCCTTTTACTTCCCATCACTATGTTGCTGCTCCACCCTCAAGTTCCTCATTTCTCATGATGGTGCTTTTGCAAGTCTTTCCACTTGCTGCTCTGGGGCACTTTGTGGGGAAAAGCTACTAGTGCTGATCTTCTGCAGTGATTCAGGAACAAATTCCATTTGGGACTTCTGGCCAGATGCTCAGCACAGCTGGATCCTTGGGAATGACCAAAGCATAATGCAGTGGTTGTGTCCTGTGGCATGGTGGTCAGGACACACTTGGTATGTCAAGGAACAGCTATGGATATAGAGGGAGAGGGCCAGGGACAGAAAGTGGAACCACCTTTAGCTTTTGATGTACCACAGAGATAACACCTTCCCTAGGTAATCCTTCTTTTATCTCTTCTTTGTCCCACCTGGCTGCATTTGTGGTGGTCTGAGATAGCTACCTTCAGATCAAGAACACTTCCCACAATGGCCTGTGCCTCTGGCAGCATTTGATGTTTGGGAGGTGTATGCACAAGCATACACCCTACCTATCCTCATGTATATAACTTGGGAGAGCAGCACGAAGGAGTCACCAACTGCATTTTTTTCCCCCCAGGACCTGTTTCAGAATCAGCACTGATGCCTCTTCTGGGCAGGTTTTGCGTGGCAGTGTTCATGCAGGGTTGGAGGGAGCAGCACATTCCAGTTTCTCAGACTGCTTAGCAACCAGGGCTGGCTGAGCTGCTTTTCTGTGCACACCAAGTGTGTGGATGGCGTGTCTAGTACTGCATCTCTATCCTTATTTTTCCCGTCTCTTGTTTTTTTTTTGAAAATCATTCCTTGTTTTCTAGTTAAGGCACTTGAAAAACTGCTGTAAACTAATTTTTGCTTTCCTGGACAGCTGGAAGTCAGCTACACTATGAGATGATCAAAGCTACTATAGGGGGGATTGGAAACTTGGAGAGACAGTATGACACTATCAGCCTGCTTTTGGGGAGCATGACTGCAGGACAGTGTCATCTATGCTACTGGTAATGGGCTGGCTTGAAGTCCTGCTGCTGGACAGCCATGAAACCAACTTGCCCAGAGGAATGCAGGCAGTGGAATACATTGTTTTCCATGGGTCTGCAGGATGTGAGATTCCTGCTCAGGGCTACCTGTCCCAGTACAACCAACATGCTTAAGATCAAGAAGACCCTGTTAGACCATTTTCAGGAACAGTTTCAGCTTTGTAGACAGAAAGTCAATATGTTCCTAGCTTCCTTACTGGGATCCTCTTGGATCATTGGGTAATCTCTTGCCTCTCACTTGTTTCTTGGCTCTCAAATGCCCAGACCAGTCTCCCTGCCACAACCTTCAGCATCCACCCTGACAGCAGGCTGAGATTCTGAATCTGTTTGGGGGTTCTCTTAGGGACTGTGCCCATCTCTTCCATGTTATCCAGCAGTAATACCTGCTGCTGAA